GTGTAAATAAAATGGCTCAGTCCGTGTTAAAACATATTTTTAAACTAAACAGCCTACAGTATTTTTACAGTCTTTATTTTACAGTTGAAATATGTTTATTAAATAAAGTCTAATCATCCCTTTTAAGAAAAAAATACATCTTCACAAAACAGTTGTTTATCTTCACTGAATGATTTGTGAAGCTGAGAAAGCCTCCTGGATGGAAGCCAAACATCTTCAGCTTCAGGATAGAAGAGCTGCTGTTTTTGAACCTTTTCTTGGATTGATCATGACCTGGATGACTGGGTGTCTTCTGGAGAGCTGGGCCCTTCCTGACACCTGGACACATCACACCCACATCCACTAATGTTCAACAAACACACATGGCACAGCACCACTCTATAAATTGAATAAATGATGAGACATTTGAAAAGCACTGACATAAAACAACACAACTTCAAAATCAGCGTTTAACCAGATGCAACATATGCAGTCATTATGTTTTCAGACTTTCTAACAGGATGCCTCTTGTCTTTTTCTGAGTAAAGCACTCTTTGATTTGTTTTGTGATCTCAGAACCTTGTGAGTCTTCTTTGGTTTGTTGTGTGTTCAGATGAAAACCTCCTGGTTTCAGCAGTGTTTAGTATACAGATGAAGAGGGAACAGGAGGATGAGGATGCACACAGTTTCATTTGGAGCATAAACTAGACGACCAGGCTGTTCAGTCCTCTTCTCCCAGAGGCAGAACCGGGCCCTGGGTTCCATCTGCTCCCCTCCACTTTCCTCTAACTTATTGCGTTGGTGCTGGAGGTTTGATTACAAGCAGGCCCAGCACAAACGACCGTCCATCAGCTTTGCTCCGTATGCTCCTGCTCACAGCTTAATGACCCCAGAGAAGTCTGCAGGACACGCCTATGAATCAAACCGCGGCTCCGGGCTCGACACGGTACCACCAGCAGAGCCCGGGTCCGTTCAGTCTTTGTGTGGCCTCATGTGTGACCTCACGTCTTCTTTCTTTCTGCAGCTCTACGGCGGAGCCATCCTCGAGGTGTGTGGATGAAAACTGGGGAGGTTCCCTCAAGTCCAAGGTGAGTTCTACGTTTTGGAGGGATTTTAAAGTGCCTGGGACAACAAAGGTTTTGTAATAAAACAAAAGCATTTTTGGAAAGATAACACTGAGAATATATTACAAATAATTTTCCTACAATCTTACAGTTAAGGCTGTTCACTCTGACTTGTTGTCTTATTTATTTATTTATTTGTTTGTTTGTTTGTTTTTCCATTTTATGTTTAAAAAATAAACTATCAAGACTTCCCTCCCTCTGCAGCACTGGTGCTCAAACAGAAACAGCAACAGTGACTTCACAGTTTGAAGAGTTCATTTTCAGTTATTGATGGAAGAAGAGTTGGAGGAGGAAGATTWATGGCAGGCCATTTTAGCATAAAATCAGCTTTTTGACTGTCTATAATTACATTATATCTAAAATTGAGTTTTGAGTACACACATACATTTTGACCATCCTGAATATTAATTGAATTAATTGACCTGTGACATCAATTTTTTTAAATACATATGAACGCATTTTTAGGAGGATATTGATAAAATATTGCAAAATAAATTTCATGTTGCTGAGATGAACAGTTGTTGAGATATTTGCCTGTGAAGTAACAGGAAGTGATGTCAAAGGGAATGTCTGCRTGTGAACAGTGTTGTTACAATAACAGACTGTCGAGAAGAATCTGATTTTTCTTTAAATTATTTTGAGTATTATTTTGATTATCAGAGAGGTGAAGAAGAGTCAGTATATAATAATATTGTTTCAATAAACAAAGACCAGAGAGTTTCTTTTGTTAAAGAGTTCCCCTTTGATGTCACTTCCTGTTTCACTTTGGCTGAGCCAAGTTGAAAAGAAAATCTACCAGTTATGTGACAAAATGGGTTAAACTGTGTGTATTATTCCAACTTTCTTAAATATAAAGATGTTTTCTTTGACATTTTTTATTTGAAGAATATGCATGTCACAGGCTCTTTAAATGTAATTATGACTACTGTAGTCAAAATGACATTTTAAGCCCCTCAGCTGCTACTTAGCTCTCCAAACAGTTGCCTGCAGAATTTTGGGTTGGAGTTGGACTGACCTGACATTGCAGACCACTGAATAGTAAATTAAGGTAAGGCTAAAAATGCCTTGGGAACTTTTGACTYGACAGATTGTTAATTCAGATATCTCAAATAGAAAGGCCATCTAGATGAAGAAAAAAAAAAAAAACAAGATATCACTAATTAATTTGGAAAGATCTTAGAAGGAATTGTGACTAGTCAAAAATAAAGCTCTAGATATCTATAATTTAGTTTGACCAATTCATTTGCTTTCAAGAGTTCTGCAGTTTAATTTGCACTTGTCAGATCTTTATGTGCGATATCTAAAAGTACAATAAGACATCTTGAATTGAAGCCTCCATACAACTTAATAGTAAATCTGACATCATTTAYGCCAGTCAAAATAAAATAGGCGATATCTTAACTTTAACTGCCTGTGATGGACTGGAGACCTGTCCAGGGTGGACCCCACCCCTCGCACAGTGACCCTGAGAGGAAGAAGCAGGTAAAGATGATGGGTGAATTAATTAACTATACATCTAGTCATAAACCAATCTTGGATATCTGGAATGTAAGACTGGTGAAGATGATTTGATGTTAAAATGGCCTGCCATATAAAATTCTATTCTTACTCCAGCTCTGGTTGGGTTTGCTTTGAGAAGAGTGCAGCCTCAATGTGGACGGGGTCACTGACAAAAACCTGCAAATCTTTATGACATAACTTTATTTRCAGCACAACAATGGACAATGCTTCTCTTCAACCTCTTTATTATTCAGGACCAGCTGAAACAAAGCRAGACAACAGCTAGTCAACCCCAGTAGCTCGGCCTGAATAGGACGCCAGGTCTCTGGGTTCCAGACGTCAGGCTGGAAGTGGGCCATAACAGCATATGCATCTGGTCCTTACAACAACACAAAAACACCTAAAGAGTGCAGCTTTGATGTTAGTGTAGGGTCACAATGTAAAAATTACATGTGCAGAAAAATACGCTATTGAACTGTGCACACATGTTTCTGTGCTCCTTTCTTTCATTCATCAACAAACGTAGAACTGAGCACAACCTCTCCTGACACACTTCTGTTTCAGAATGCAAACATAGACTTGAATAAGATCACTAGACTGAGCCCCGCCCATCCTGTCCACTGGTAGTGTCTGTGACA